TAATGCACATTTATTGAAACCCAAATAGAATTGTACTGAGCACACAATGCCATATAGAAAGTGGTCAAATGTAACGAATGTTATATCTGTGATAACTTTCTCAGTAAAGTACAGATTCTCGTACTTTTTGGAGCTCACGCTCACAAAGTGAGGCACCTTATTGCCAGTACACAAAATCAGCAATCTGACCAACTCAGCCACCATGGGTTCCACAGTCTGACAACTGGTAGTCGAGATCACATACTTTGTATACCCCAAGACATGTGTAAATTGCACGGCTCCAAAGTCAAAAGCTATGAATACCTAATGCCATTTGGAAAGTGGTCAAATGTAATAGCATCAGCCCACTGAGTGAGCGAGTATGGTTTTACGCCGCTTTTAGCAATATTCCAGCAATATCACGGCAGGGGACACCGGGCTTCACATATTGTACCCATGTCGGGAACCAACCCGGGTCTTCGGCGTGACGAGCGAACACTTTAACCACTAGGCTATCTTTTAACATCTGTTGGTATGATATGGCCAGGGATCGACCCCTGACCTTTCACTGTTAGGGCAGAAACTCTATCAACTTGACCACAGAGACCATCCCCACTTCAGAGATATATGGACGATATCTTCTTTGGAACTTTTACAGAAACATATATCAACGTTCACTTATTTCATTTTAATATTAATGTCATACAAATTTGTATATAACAAGATTATTCATTCAGTCGTTTATATTTTCAGAGCTACCACGCGTCAGTAATTTCATTTAAAACCAGTGAAACCTCCCCTGCAGTGCTGAAGCTGGACATAAAATGGGGCGACATGTCCCGTGTTCTTGTTGCCGTTACCAACCAGTTGGGCTATCTGGAACGTATTCTGTTCCTGGAGAGATGTGAGTCCCACAACTTCGTGTGGTCGGGGTTCACAAACTCCCAGCTGTACACCGTCCTGGTGTGGGGCCTGAAAGACAGCCCAGCTACCGGCGCCGTCACAGACCTGAAAGACAACCCAGCTACCGGCGCCATCATAGACCTGAAAGACAACCCAGCTACCTGCGCCATCATAGACCTGAAAGACAACCAAGCTACCGGCGCCATCATAGACCTGAAAGACAACCCAGCTACCTGCGCCATCATAGACCTGAAAGACAACCCAGCTACCTGCGCCATCATAGACCTGAAAGACAACCCAGCTACCGGCGCCGTCATAGACCTGAAAGACAACCCAGCTACCTGCGCCATCATAGACCTGAAAGACAACCCAGCTACCAGCGCCGTCATAGACCTGAAAGACAACCCAGCTACCGGCGCCGTCACAGACCTGAAAGACAACCCAGCTACCTGCGCCATCATAGACCTGAAAGACAACCCAGCTACCTGCGCCGTCATAGACCTGAAAGACAACCCAGCTACCGGCGCCGTCATAGACCTGAAAGACAGCCCAGCTACCTGCGCCATCATAGACCTGAAAGACAACCCAGCTACCGGCGCCGTCATAGACCTGAAAGACAGCCCAGCTACCTGCGCCATCATAGACCTCAAAGACAACCCAGCTACCGGCGCCATCACAGACCTGAAAGACAACCCAGCTACCGGCGCCGTCACAGACCCAATGGTGGCATCATACACTGTGGAGGCATTTGAGAGGATTTCAATTCCACAATCAGGTGAACCAGAAGGTTTGTCAAAACTGTTTTATATTCAAGGTAGAAACTGTATTCTATATGTTATTCCCGTTTATACGATAAACTGATGATAATAACTTAACACTCCCTGAAAAGTTTTAAAAAAACACAAAACAACATCTTATTTTGATATTCTGGGGGAGGGGGGGGTTGGGTGGATTCTTTGAAAAAAATTGTGCTTGAAAATACTTGAAAATATTAATTATGCTTTATGCCTTTGAAAACAAAAGAAATCGCTTGCCACTATAATTAGATTGTTGCAAGGTGTATTTCTTAAAAATGAATTACAAGTATTGATGGACTACAGTATAATAAGGAAGTTGTTATCGATAAAGTTTTGTATAGTTTGTCATCCATCAACTTCTAAGAAATGCCTATCAAACAATTCATAGAATTATAATGTCATGTAAAATCAACTTGAACTCACTCCCTCTTGTGCGACAGTTGTGGTGTTTCCGCATTCTGAGAGATGATAGACTCACATGATTTTTATGTTTCATTTGTGACAGAGAGGGTACGTGTTCTTGACCTTGCTGGAGGGAATCATTTCGGCTTTTTGACTATGAAAGACTTGCTGAAATCACAGGTACACCTTCCTACACATTCTTATACCCCACATCAACCAGTATCAGTATCTTACATGTACAGGGTCTTCTGATGTCTGAATGGAGTGGATCAGTTGGCTTTAAATAGAAGAGAACTGCAGTATCATAGTGCGTCTGTCTGTCTGTCTGTCTGTCGGTGTCTGTCTAAGCATCTGTCTGTCTGTGTGTGTCTGTGCATCTGTCTGTCTGTGTGTGTCTGTGCATCTGTCTGTTGGCATGTGTGTGTCTGTCTGTCTGTGCATCTGTCTGTTGGCATGTGTGTGTCTGTCTGTCTGTGCATCTGTCTGTCTGTGTGTGTCTGTGCATCTGTCTGTTGGCATGTGTGTGTGTCTGTCTGTCTGTGCATCTGTCTGTGTGTGTCTGTGCATCTGTCTGTTGGCATGTGTGTGTGTCTGTCTGTGTGTGCATCTGTCTGTCTGTGTGTGTCTGTGCATCTTTGTGTTGGCATGTGTGTGTGTCTGCCTGTGTCTGTCTGTCTGTGCATCTGTCTGCCTGTCTGTCTGTGCATCTGCCTGTCTGTGTGTGTCTGTGCATCTGTCTGTTGGCATGTGTGTGTGTCTGCCTGTCTGTGCATCTGTCTGTCTGTGTGTGTCTGTGCATCTGTCTGTTGGCATGTGTGTGTGTCTGCCTGTGTCTGGCTGTCTGTGCATATGTCTGTCTGTGTGTGTATGTGCATCTGTCTGTTGGCATGTGTGTGTGTCTGCCTGTGTCTGGCTGTCTGTCTGTGCATCAGTCTGTCTGTGTGTGTCTGTGCATCTGTCTGTTGGCATGCGTGTGTGTCTGCCTGTCTGTGCATCTGTCTGTCTGTCTGTGTGTGTCTGTGCATCTGTCTGTGTCTGTCTGTGCATCTGTCTGTGTCTGTCTGTGCATCTGTCTGTTGGCATGTGTGTGTGTCTGCCTGTCTGTCTGTGTCTTTGATTGTGTCTGTGCATCTGTCTGTGTGACTGCCTGTCTGTGTGTGTATGTCTGTCTGTCTGTGTCTGCCTGCCTGTCTATCTGTCTGTCTGCCTGTGTGTCTGTCTGTGTCTGTGTTTGTCTGCCTATCTGTGTCTGTGTTTGTCTGTCTGTCTGTGTCTGTGTCTGTCTGTGTTGTCTGTGTGTGTATGTCTGTGTAGGTCTGTCTGTCTGTGTCTGTCTGTCTGTGTCTGTCCAACTGTCACAGGACCAAGGAGCGTCCATTCCAATTTGGAATGAACGTTGGATTGCTTTGGAAAAATCGCTCATTCCAAACTTCCAAAGCTTGGAAGGATCGATCTTTCCAGAAAATCCAAAATTGGATTGGCAACATTTCCAAACATATTTCCAACACAGGAAATGTTTGGAATGATTTGGAATGGTTTGGAATTGTTTGGAATTGTTTGGAAATATGGTTAGAAGGAACAAGTTAAAATATGTTTGATTAGTAATTTGAACAATAAAAAGACTATGAATTATTTATTGAGTTTAAACTATATATAATAAATATTAAATTTATCTCAAACATTCACTACTTGTCTGTCTAGCGAGGGGCTTTTACAGTCGCATTCTCCCTAAGGTGAGAGAGAGACCCGCACTTGACTCAACAAGACACTAATAGGTCTCAAGATTAAGTATTTGGCTGGATGGCAGCTGCCATTTAATTACAAAACAGACGGCTCACATGTAAGTGCGCCGACATGTGCCTAAGATCATAAAATGGACAATCTTTGGTAACATCTAATTTATTGTTGTCTCACGCCAGAGCTGTGAATAATTCTGTTCATTGAACAATTGGAATTCAGGAAGTTATCAATAATTGTTTTACTTAACATAAGATAAGATAAGTTGTTTACAACATAATATTATGATGTCAGGACGTACTACAGTCAAAACCATATATTTTAAAATCAATTTAATGACAGACTATGATTTCCAAGTCCCGATTATCAAATCAATGAGGTATCAGTTTCACCACATGTGCACAGACCGCCTATACTTATGTATATATTTTTCATAACTATTCTCCAGTTAAAATCCTATCCTCTTATCAAATAATCTGTGAGAGTGATCATCACTATCAAAACTCATTCTCATCAAAGAATACATAACAGATGAAGAATCAGATGCATACATTTATTGCCATGCTTCATTCATCACGAAGTAGATTTACATACATTTGTGAATAGCACTTAAACTGTGATAATGAATTTTACCATTGTCCGTATTATATTATAAATATTAACCATAATATGGATTTCCGAATATATAAACGACTTCAACGTTGATATTTCAGACAAAAACAAAGTCTCCTGTCTTTTAACGTTCAGGGGAAAAGGGTTTGCTTTCACAATTGAACATTTGTTTTCACTAAACCAAGCCAAAAACACGAAAAATACATATATATGGTTAGCGACCGTCATTATACAGCGAGGAGGGAAATTCGTCTGCTCTAACTGCCTTCACAAAAACATTCCAGCCCTTAATTACCGAGGCAGCTGTGGCGTAGTAGCATTACATTCGCTGCGTTTGCAGCATATAAGATGTGTAATCTGTGGAGTGACTAAAGTAATATTATGGCTGAAATCTTACTTGCATGGTTGTTTTAATAGAAAACTTACGGTTTAAAAACACAATTGTTCTTATATAATGTTTTTAGGTTTTGTTTTTTAAATACTAGAGAAGATTTTTTATACATCTAAAACTGGTCGAAAATACAGCTGAACAATAGAAAAATCAAAATAGGAGTTGTGAATAGTGACAAATTTTAATTACATCACTGTCAATAATTGTTGATTGATTCCGTCAAACAACTGTCAAACAACTGTCAAACCATTTATTGCCATGTACGTACATGTACACAGCTGTCGGAGGCTCCAGGTAAATAAACATCGTGGTGTTATGACTGGAGATCAGACAAACCGTGAACCAGGGGCATGCGACGTAATTACACCTAAAGGTGGTAGAACCAGGGCATTGTCTCTTGAACTGGCTAATTGACCGTACAAATAATTGGTAAATATATTCGTTTTGACACCCGTGTTTCATGCGCATCCCGGCTAATAAGCAGAATACAGACAAATGAGGCCCCGTGATCAGCGGAGCGTGAACAAGATGGATGCCGTCTTTCGGCCGTAACAGTCAAGCTGCGATCTCGGAACTGCTCGCCCGATTGTAACAAATTGCAAGCGGAGACAAGATTACTTCCCCTACCTAAACATGATAGTTGCTCAGAAATGTTCAAATCTATCTTCAGTAAATTATGAAATTAATGCGAGCATGACATTTATGCGAAAAAGGCGATCGTCAGTCCCTCTGATTATTTTAATATGTTTCATTTCATCATGATAAAAAAGTTAGTCACTTGTAAGGTTACTGTTGTGTTGTTTACATGGTGCACGTGCACCTTCGCGCACTGCCAATTCGGATGTGACGTCACATGTCGAAGTGACGTCACTGGCGACGTCTGCTTGTCATTGTCATCGTGGGTTCCCAAGTAAACAGGATTAACCAAAAAGGCATCTCGTTATCTGTACGTATTAGTTACTGAAGAAATACTTAGGCCAATACACTACAATCTGGCGACAAGATAAAAACTTTGAAGAATAAGACAGTCACAAGAAAATGTTCTTGGACGAATAAGGTGGGATCATTTCAATATTATCTCAGCCTTGCGACATTGCCTAAAGTACATTGATCTATAGTCAATTATCAAACATGTCTATGTTTGGGCGTTTGGAAGAATTTGATGACAGTAAATGTGACTTTAAAACATACATTGAACGTTTTGAGCAAATATGTAATGCTAATGGTATTCCTGACACCAGTAAAACATTGGCACTACTGGCTTCAATTGGTCCTAAAACTTTCACGTTGTTGAAATCTCTCATTGTACCTGTAAAACTTAATTCACTTTCGTATGAGGAAATTGTTGCGACCTTGTCTGCGCATCTATCCCCCAAAACTATGACAATTGCTGAACGGTTCCGATTCTATAGATGAAATCAACAAGAGGGGGAGAGTGTTTGTGATTATTTGGCAGAATTACAGCGTCTTGCAAACAAATGTCATTTTGGAAATTTCTTAGAGCAGGCCTTGCGTGATAGACTAGTCTGTGGGTTACAAAATGAAGCTATTCAACGCAAATTATTGTCAGAAGTTGATCTTAACCTTAAGAAAGTTCAAGACATTGCCATTGCTATGGAATTAGCCGACAAAAATGCACATGACTTGAAAACTGTTCAAGAACAGATCGGTGGAATTCAAATCAATAAGGTCACACAGCAAAGGTCAACCAATAGGAAGCAAGGATCGCGTCCTTCACCCCTGAATGACACAAATGTAAGGTCACAGAATCAGAAGTGTTACCGCTGCGGCAAAACTAATCATAGATCAGAAGATTGTTGGTACAAGAACTTTAGATGCAATAATTGTTCAAAAATTGGCCATTTGCAATCGCAATGTAGATCAAAGTCAGCCAGTTCAATGAAGTTTGTTGAAGAAAACCCGATCCCAAATGGATACGGAAACGAATAAATAGATGATTATATCAGTGATAACGTTACACTGGGACTTTTTCACAACAGTGAAAAGAAAGTCGGGAAGCGCGAAGCGGTGAAAGTTGTTATCAGTGTAAACAGACAACCGATCTCCATGGAAATTGACATGGGTTCAGCAACCACAATCATTCCTTATTCGGTGTACACAGAAAAACTGTCTGAAGTAGAACTTTCTGAACCTATGACAGTACTGAAAACTTACTTGGGTCAATCCATACCTTTGATTGGTCGGGCTGAAGTGGACGTAGAATACAATGGCACCAAGTTACCTATCCTAGTGGCTGATGTGGCCAGGACACCAGCAAAATCCAAGCTAAATCTAGACATGAACAGTCTGTTCACAGTGAATTTCAACACCAACTCTGATGTAAAAAGTGAAGTTGCAACAGTGTTAAAGAACCATGCAAGCATTTTTGCTGATGGATTAGGAACAGTGAAAGGAAATGAAGCTAAAATCACACTGAAACCCAATGCCAGGCCAATATTCATGAAAGCAAGACCAGTGCCATATGCCCTGAGAGAGAAAGTGGAGAAAGAGCTAGACAAGTTGGAGAAAGATGGAGTGATTTCAAAAGTCAACTCAAGTGATTGGGCAACACCCATTGTTGTCGTTCCTAAGAAATCAAACGATGTGAGAATCTGTGGGGACTATAAAGTTACCTTAAACCAGTGGATTGAAGTCGAAAAGTACCCCCTCCCAAAAGCGGCGGATTTGTTTGCAACTCTAGCAGGCAGTGAAATCTTCTCGAAAATTGATCTGACAAAAGCATATCACCAAGTCCTGATAAGTGAAGAAACCAAGAAGTTGCTTGTAATCAACACCCACAAAGGACTTTACTGTTACAATCGACTGCCCTTTGGCATCGCTAGTTGTCGAGCAATATTTCAACAAATCATGGAACATATCTTGCAAGGTACACCTAGAACTGTCTCCTTTCAAGATGACATAGAAGTAGGAGGGAAGACAACAGAACATGTTCAACTTCTTGACCAAGTCCTTCAGAGATTAGAACACTTTGGAATTAGGGTTTGCAAAAGAAAATGCCAGTTTGCACAACCCAAAATTGAGTATTTGGGTCATGTGATCGATCGAAATGGATTGTATACAGTTCAAGAGAAGGTTGAAGCTATTACCCGAGCTCCGGAACCAACAAACAGAACCCAGCTCAGATCATTCCTCGGAATGCTGCAATACTATGCACATTTTATCTCCAACCTATCGACGATGATTCATCCACTCAACAATCTGCTAAAGGAAAACACTGAGTGGATCTGGACACCACAATGTCAGGAACCGAGCAAAACAAGCCTTGTCTTCAGCTGAAGTGTTGACACATTATGACCCCAAGAGGAAAATCAAGTTGGCATGCGACGCATCCAATTATGGACTAGGTGCGGTTATCTCACACATTATGGACGATGGAACTGAACAACCAATTGCATTCACATCAAGAACACTGTCAAACAGCGGAAGAAATTATGCCCAGATTGAGAAGAAAGCACTTTCCCTGATATATGGAGTGAAGAAATTCAAAGAATATCTCTATGGCCACTCATTTACCTTAGTGACAGATCACAAGCCTCTTCTCTCAATTCTGGGACCCAAGAAAGGTGTACCAACTCTGGCAGCAGCTCGCATGCAGAGATGGGCATTAATCCTAGCAGCTTACCAATACGACATTGAATTTAGAACCACTGATCAACATTTCAATGCGGATATGCTTTCTCGATTACCACTACAAGAAGAAAACATTCAAGATGAAGAAGACGTTGTATTCAACTTTTCCCACCTTGATACCCTACCAGTCACAGCCAAAATCATTAAAAGTGCAACCAGGAAGGACCCAACTCTATCGCGAGTCTATGCTTTCACACTGAATGGATGGCCTGCAAGTGTGACCAATCCAGACCTATTGCCATTCTTTGCAAGAAGAAATGAACTGTCAGTAGAACAAGGTGTTGTACTATGTGGACTCCGCGTGATCATACCATCCTCACTTCAGCTGAGAGTACTCGAAGAACTTCATTCTGAGCACATTGGCATTGTCAGGATGAAAGGAGTATCAAGAAGTTATGTTTGGTGGCCGTCACTTGATTCAGACATCGAGAAGACTGTTAAATCCTGTGAAAATTGTACATCTGTGAGAAACATGCCCAAATCCGCACCACTGCATGAATGGCCATGGCCATCACAACCCTGGGAAAGAGTTCACATTGATTTTGCCAAATACAAAGGACGAAATTACTTCATTCTAATCAATGCCTATTCCAAATGGCCAGAAGTGTACCTGATGAATTCAACAACCACAAGCAAGACAGTTGAAACTCTGCGACATATCTTTGCTACACATGGCACACCAGAACAGTTAGTATCTGACAACGGCCCACAATTCACCTCAGAAGAATTCAACACCTTCATGAAGATGAATGGAATTAATCACCAGCGCAGTGCTCCGTATCACCCAGCAACCAACGGTGCAGCGGAGAGATTTGTTCAGGTATTGAAGATGCACCTCAAAACTTCAGAAGAATCTGATCCCCAGAGACAGTTAGCAAATATGTTGATTGTGTACAGAACTACTCCTCACACAGTCACTGGAAGAACTCCGTCAGAACTGCTAATGAAGAGAAAAATCAGAACAAGACTTGACTTGCTCCAGCCAAATCTAAGACAACATGTTACAAAGAAACAAATAGGCCAGAAGATAACACATGATGGTGGAAACCCTACCTTGAGACAGTTTGAACCTGGACAAAGAGTAGCCGTCAGAAGATTAAGAGGTCCAAACAAGTGGGTCTATGGTTCCATATTGCAGAGAATCGGCCCCCTTGCTTACATTGTGGACATTGACAATCACCCAAGTCATGTGCATATTGATCACATCATTGTGGCTCCTAACAATGATTGAGGTAGTGAAGACATCCTTCACAGAAGAGAAATGCAGACTACAAAGTCTACTTTTCCTGAGACATCACAGACCTGCAACGCCTGCAACACCACCATCCACCACTGAGACAACAACGACTCCAAACGACGATGCACCATCAAGTGAGATGTCTTTCCCCAACACCACACCGGCACCATCCATGATGATGCGACGTTCACAACGACTTTGCCAACCTCCTAAAAGACTTGATTTGTGACTTTCTCGCATTGTGACTTTTTCGCATTCTCGCATTCTCGCATTTGTGACTTTTTCGCATTTCTTCCTCCTAGTGTTGCTTAAACTTGTTTGCGGTTGTGTTGTATATTCTAAACAGGGAAGAGTGTAGTGTTGTGTTGTTTACATGGTGCATGTGCACCTTCGCGCACTGCCAATTCGGATGTGACGTCACATGTCGAAGTGACGTCACTGGCGACGTCTGCTTGTCATTGTGGGTTCCCAAGTAAACAGGATTCACCAAAAAGGCATCTCATTATCTGTACGTATTAGTTACTGAAGAAATACTTAGGCCAATACACTACAGTTACCACGTTGAAAACGGAAACGATCGTTAACAAAAACAACAAAATGTATTCTCTCAACACTCAGCCTAACAGTGATATAACTGCAAATTAAACAATCAAGTACGCTAAAGTATTACACATGGTTGGTGGAGGACCAGGGGCACTTTGAGTTTGACAGGTGTCATCAACTGGTCAAGTAACATCACGGTTTGTATATTCACGTTGATTGGACAGTCTAGACTGGCGTCAACTAATCATGACGGCGTCTTCAGAACAGAACAGAATTTTATTTCTCCCAGGCTTAGGCTTACGTGGATAACAGAATTTTTTTATTTTTTTATTTTGGTAATTCAATCTAATATACTTTCCTTGATTGATTATATGGCTGCGGTCATAGATCCGGATGTATCTAAATATGCTCAGCAAATACACAGGATTTATTGTTATACTATTAGGATTAATAGATACAATTGAGTATTTATACCCTTGATCATAAAGTTAGTCACTACTTTCACATGTTAGATTTGTATTATTTGGATTATGATTAAATTGACAAAATAAGAAATCATTCGGTGTATATGTGTATTATATATTGTACCCCAATACGTAATTAAATTATGTATTAATAAGGGCACTAGGTTAATTACTGTAATTTATTATTTGATAAACATATTCACATTTAGTTGCGGGATATGTCACAGAGGGAAAGCTAATTCATAACAACTAATTGTCCCATTTATTTGGTTTCTATCTTTTATATGAAACAAATGCTATAACATGGGGTGATAAACTTCATTGGCAATAGACGTAGCATATAATTGTCCACATGAACAGTCTACTCTGTTCCAGATGTTTATTCATTTTGTCAGCATTTAAATCGTTGGATTCCTGGCTCAATGATTCATTTGACAAAATCTTGTTCCCTGTTTTGAATTACCGTCAGATAGTTCCAGACCAATTATAAAATTTCCAGCCCTATGTGTTGCGCATAATTCCGAGATAATTCGAAGTTCATATTCTTGTACGAACACTTATCAAAATTCATTTATACCTAGTACTATTACGTACATATGTATATTAGTTCAAATTATAATAATGAGGCCCTCTATTCTCGAAACGGTCTTTATTCTAAGACAACCGTAAGTCGGTATGGGAAAACAAAATATTTGTTTAATTGTTCAATGTTCATAGTCAATGTCATATAAATTATAGACAAGGAAGATAAGAAATTAAATATAAAGAGTAGCCACTTTAAATGACAGAAATTCTTTTAGTTAAATTTGCTCAAGATTTGGTCTTTTCGTGGTAAATAGTGCCAAAATACTCTTAATTATTTACTTTCATGTCATTACTAATCTCACATAAGACCAAAAGTTTTACAACATTTAACAGATATGATTATGACCTGTTGTATCCAAACAAATCCAAAAAAATCCAAACAAATCCAAGCTTGGAAATATGACCTTGACAAATTTTGGAATGGTCATATTTCCATTTCAAGTTTTGGATTGTTTGGAATGGATGATATTTTTGTCCAGTGTGTCTGTCTGTCTGTGATTGTGTCTGTGCATCTCTCTGTGTGTGTCTGTGTATGTGTCTGTCTGTCTGTGTGTGTCTGTCTGTCTGCCTGTCTGTGTGTGTCTGCCTGACTGTCTGTCTGTCTGCCTGTCTGTGTGTGTGTGTATGTCAGTCAGTCTGTGTCTGTGTTTGTCTGCCTGTCTGTGTCTGTGTTTGTCTGCCTGTCTGTGTCTGTGTTTGTCTGCCTGTCTGTGTCTGTGTTGTCTGTGTCTGTCTGTGTTGTCTATGTCTGTGTTGTCTGTGTCTGTGTCTTAAACAGTAGAGTAAACTGAACTTCCACTTTACGCAGCATCTGTTTGTCAAGTACACAGGACATGTCTTTGTAGTTTGAGTGTTGAATAAAGGAGTTGACTAAGAAGAATCCAGGCCTAGAACATGAGGAAAGCTTGAAATTGAAACAATTATTATTCTGACACATTTAGGAAGTTCTCGAGATGGAGGTTGAGCACAAGCCACCACTGGACTACAGCCTCAAGCCTACAGGACCTTCTGACAGCGAGGCAGGTCTGTGTGTTGTGTTCTGTGAGAGAAGTCAGAAGGAGTACGTTGTGATGTCGTCTGCCCCGGTCAGTGCCGGCATCCCACTCCTGCCTGTCTGTCGGTCCAGGACCAACTACAAGGTCAGAGCTATCGGGCTAACAAATAACAAAGGTCACACATTCAGACAACTGTCTCCAGTCTGCCAACAAAACACCCCCTGTGGAAGCTCAAACATCATCCCCATCAAGACCTGTAAGTCATGTCAGCAATTCTTTTCTTCCACACCCTGTATAATTAATCTGGATGGTATAATCCTAATGAATACTTAGGGTCCAACAAAATCGGGGTTGGCATTACAATATCACCATGAATCAAGGATATAATATCGTGTTAAAAGGTGAAAGTTATGACCAACATGACATTTATGGGAAGCAACAGGCAGAGTTCCATGAACACAGGCCTATCCTGTAGTTCTGTCCACAAAGCTGCATCTGCTTGTCCATCAGAGAGAGTGAGGTGAAATGGGGTTTAACGTTGCGTCCAAGATTATTGCACTTATATAGCGACGTGCATGCACGTGTGTGTGTGTGTGTGTGTTTGTGTGTGGCTACTTGTACTAGTCCGGACATATGCCGATTTATAGTGCTAGCTCACTGAGATACCATGCCGCAGTTTAACATGAATACCCCACTCAGACACAGTATACTGACTCCGAGCCGACCAGTCCTTGTTTTATCCCCTTAATGCCGAGGGCCAGACAGGGTAACAACAAGTACCATCTTTTAACGTCTTTTGGTATGACGCGGCCGGGGATCGAACCCCGGACCTTCCGCTCTCTGGCGGACGCTCTACCACTAGACCACGCAGGCGGTCCCATCAGAAAGAGAGTAAGTGAGTATGGTACTCTGCCACTTTAAGCAATATTCCAGCCTTATCACTGTGAGGAACACCAAAAATGGACTTCACACACTGTATGGAATCCTTTAACCAAAAAGCTGTCCCCCGCCCCCGCCCTTCCTTAAAGTCAGCTTCACCATTTTAGACTATTAACATAAACAAATGTCAAATTAGATTTGAAGCCTATTTCATCCATAGCACCCCACCTGTGTCTATGACATTATACTTGCAAATGTCTGGACAGAAGTTCAAGAGCAAGATTGTAAATGATATCTTGTTCTCAACAGACATGTCCAAAGAAGATCTTGCAAAACTCCAGGAGAAGGCAGAAACATACTGTCGGAACCACGCCCTAACTCCCAAGAAATATCCCATCACACAGATGTATCGAAATAAACCAATATCCTACTTTAATGGCATCATGTATAACAAGAATGGTGTGATGGAGAAATACCTGAAGGACAACAATGGCGACCCATATTCTGCGATCAACAACAAGATCAGTGGCCTCTTCTTCAGTGGGTCATTTGACACAAGGGAAACAAATCCTCCCCAACGGCCACCAAACTTCTCTTACTTTGGCGAAATTCGACTTTTCGTCCCAGCAGAGGAACTGTTCACATCAGACATCAGAATGTATTTTGCTGACTTCTTTTGTCACTATAAAGTACATTATGTCACAGTAGTTCTCACTAAGACAGGATCAGATGATGATAAGTTCTGTGAAGAAAGACTGATCGAACTAGACTTGCAGACAAACCCGTTTTTCACTGTCACAGAAAACGTCCCACACAGAAGAAATGAGATGCCCGTTTCCCCCAATTCTGATGAGAACTCTGTGAGTAGAGACGATTCTCATCCTGCATCAGAGGAACCCTCTTCCACCGAAACACCAATGGCCAGGCCAGCCTCTCCATCATACACCATCCAAGAGGTTGTCCAGAAGACGTTCACAATGACATCTGTGAACAAGTTCCATGTGGAATTCCTGTACACTGAGGATGTCGACATCAAGGGCCTGACGGAAAAATGTGGGGGGGACAAAGTTTACCGAAGAACTGTTCTTGTTCGGGGCAATGGACGAAGTTTGCCAGAAGGTATTCCAAAGAAGGCCTCCTGTGGAACTTGCAACCTTTGCTACTGACCAGGGGTCCGGAAACCGTCATAAGCACCGAACATGTCCGATTGGGAATTTCAAATGTCCGGTTTGAAATATTGCTTACCGGACATTTAAATTTTTCTGTCCGGACATACGCTATTTGAAGGGGGCGTGGCCTAAATGCAAATGTCCGATTGGGATTTTAAATTTTCCTGGACCCCTGCTACTGACATAACTAAATCTCAGTTTTGTATGTTTTGTCTCTTTTTTAATGCTACACTTTTCAATATTCCTGCAGACAAAACACATTTAACATCGCAATAAACAATGATTGTGGATATAGATGTGTGGTGAACAAGAGTTGTTCCAATGTGACTTACAAAATCTCATTGAACAGATGCCTCTGTCCGGGTTTCTAACAAACAAGTGTCATCTACAGTCCGCTTGACTCCAAATGAGAACGATGAATTGCAAAATAACTCGAAATCCAGAAAAGTGTATGAAACATCAATAGGGTACTTGACCATGAATACCCTGTACCCAACAAAATCTGAATTTTGTTTATTTTAAGACCCATGATGGATGAAGTTCTTTAAGAAACTATCATGTAATTTTGTATAGAAATGTGTATTATGAGATTTCATGACAATCGGTCACTTCGATAATGGTTTGATTCTATCTGTGATAAAAACATTTAAAAGATACTGAAGTATATTGTTTTGTGTTATTCTTTGACGAATGTACTAACACAAATATTACTGCAGACATAGCAGGACACCATGTTTGTGTGTTACTCTCTGCCTTCCTCTGGCGGTTGAACTAGATGTCATCAAAGTGAGTGCTTATCTCTCTTATGGGCCAGTTTCAGATATCACATTTCGCATTCTCAAAGCGAGGACATTAAAACGCGGGAAAATGAAGAAAATGGGGAATACCCTGCTGAAAGTGTAGACTGATAGGAGTGAGTGAGTGAGTATGGTTTTACGCCGCTTTTAGCAATATTCCAGCAATATCACGGCGGGGGACACCAGAAATGGGCTTCACATATTGTACCCATGTCGGGAATCGAACCCGGGTCTTCGGCGTGACGAGCGAACGCTTTAACCACTGGGCTACCCGACCGCCCCGTAGACTGATATGAAGTTTAAGACTATTCATGTGACCTTTATGCAGGCATAAATATATATAAATATATATAAAAATGGCTTCCACGGGAGATATCACTGCATTGTGACAACATTGGATATCATGATGTCACAATCAAATGACATCACTAATCTCTTTGCCAGTGTCTTAAACTTTAATCGATCTGTGTTGATATATTTCATATCAAATGACACGATTGTGATATCCTCTATGTATCAGTATTGGTCATGTGACTGCAGATCTCATTAATTTACCACTGTTGTCCTGTTTCCTGGTTTCTGCTGTATGCTTTTTGTATGTACCCATTGTACTGGGGAGTGAGTGAGTGAGTGAGTGAGTGAGTGAGTGAGTGAGTGAGTGAGTGAGTGAGTGAGTGAGTGTGGTTTTACGCCGCTTTTAGCAATATTCCAGCAAAATCACGGCGGGGGACACCAGAAATGGGCTTCACACATTGTACCCACGTTGGGAATCGAACCCGGGTCTTCGGCGTGACGTGTGAACACTTTAACCAGTAGGCTACCCGACCGCCCCTCTGGGTATTCAGTAACAGTCAATAACCTATATACATACGTGATGGATGTCAGTATCATTAAATATTTTTTACAAAAGACAGGAAGAATCCTTTTTCATGCTATATGAATTATATCCACACAAACAAAATCTTTATGTCTGACAGGTTTCTTTTCTGAATCATAATTAATAAACAAACCATTCCATATATATTTATGAAACCAGGTATTTGCACCTTGTAATTGCTGAAAATGGTGACTTTTGCTGTTCAGGGATTAATTTTTTTAAACAGATTTTGTTTTCAAGGCAACATGTTTGGGCTTCCGTTCAAATGAGGTTAGGATTAATTTCCAGAGCATAACTTAAATAAACGTTCAATTGTGTGAGTATATTGTTTATCGATACTTTGAACAGTATTGCAGTCGTATCCAAGCATGTCAACTTATAGTGGGAAGAAAGCACAGGCCTCCACTTGGATGTTTGTTTGTTTGTTGTTTAACGCCAAACTCAGTAAAAGTCCAGCTATATGAGGGCGATGTGTAATTAATAGAGTCTGGACTAGAAAATTCAGTGATTGATCCTCACTCATTCAAGGATCATCACCAAGGAGTGAGTGAGTGAGTGAGTGAGTGAGTGAGTGAGTGAGTGAGTGAGTGAGTGAGTGAGTGAGTGAGTGAGTGAGTGAGTACAGTTTAACGCCGCCATTAGCAATATTCCAGTAATATCACGGCGGGGGACACCAGAAATAGGCTTCACACATTGTACCCATGTCGGGAATCGAACCCAGGTCTTCGGCGTGAAAAGCGAACGCTTTAACCACTAGGCCACCTGACCGCCCCTCATCACCAAGGCTAATCTTGTATTCAATACTACCACCAGGGGAAACAAGGAATGAAAACAACACCAAAAACATATTTTACAAACTTATTTCATCAACAAAATAACAGTATTGTACATACCCAACAATCAACAAATTGGCTATCATGTACAGTCAATCCATGGTAAAGGGCTGACTATTTGATATTCTGAGGGGTACCTGGGATGTTTTGTTTTTTAAATAATTCCCAAAAATATAACATGCTGGGTTATTCTGAAAAAAATGTGACATGGGTAAAAAAAACATGTATACCTCTTCCTGTATGTTTTCACTGAGTGAGTGAGTGGTTTTACACCACTTTAACATATTCCAGCAATATCATGGGGTGTGACAACAGCAGCAAAGGGCTTCGTACATTGTACCCATGTGGAGAATTGAACCCGGGTGTTCAGCGTGAAGAGCAAACGCCTTAACCACTAGGCTACCCCATCATCCCAATATGTTTTGAAGTGCAGTGTAGCAATATTCTGTTTCAAACAAAACTCCCGACAACTCCCATCAAATACTAAATGGTCTGCCCTAAAGACTAATGGCACAAGGGACAGGGGTAGGCTAGGATGAACATGTATAGTAAAATAAAATGGCAATGGTCTATTTTACATTGGCACTGAATATCAACAGTGTAGCAGATCAAAATATCTCGGTCCATGACTTGATGCATGATACAAACCTAATGTGCCAATCAAAATGCTAAATCTAGATTACCGCTTTTGACGCCTTGAAACAAACTTTAGTTGACAGAGGATGGATACATATATCGGGAATGCCATACTGTGACTCGTTAAGTCATATTTGTTGTAGTTTGGCGATTCTATGTCAACATGTAGTTCTCGCAATCACATGCACAGGAGCCTCAATGGTGACCGGTCAAATTATTCCATGTGAAAATAAATAACCGGTAATAGCGATCAGCTGCACCGAAGTGCAACGCCTAGGGTTATTATTATTTTATATATATTTAGTAAAAGCTGCAACTAAAATAACAAGATATTGAAATATATTATTACTGATCAAAAAATAATTTCAGTTACAATTTTTCCCGATCCTTGCATCAAAATCCTTTAAAGTTATATCATTGGGTAAGTTTTAACCGAATCACCAGTAGATTCCAAGAACACAGCTGATTACTGTTTCCAGTTTAGTTTACGAGGAAATACACAAGGTAATCCTAATCCCTGGGTGTACAACAATGCCTAGCAGAACAAAAAACACAATTTGAATGGTAAATTAACATGTCTGGTGATTTTTTATCTTAAATTTCAAATTTGTACTGACCAAGTTTCTTATCACCCTTTTGTTTACAGGAATTCACTGGAGGCTTAGACTCTAAGGTGTATTTTTTTCTGCACATAATTTTCGAAAAAAGAAATTTCCAAAATACTGAATCCGCTAGAGGGGGGTGTGCATTATGCTTGGGTGCGCACAATACTCAAGAAAATATGGCATTCTTATTGTAAACCAAACTGATCAGACATGATAATTCTAACAAAGCACCAATTGGATACCTAAATCTATTCTAATTGTAAACCTAACTGATCAGACATGATAGTTCTAACAAAGCACTCATCAGATACATAAATCTAAATGTTCTAATTATTTATACCAAAAATAGTCAACCCTCCATTATAAACTCTAATAATCACAATTCACCAACAAAAGAACAGGTATTATCAACCCTTTTATCGGAATGATGTGTGAGAATCAGGTGTCTGAAGTATGACAGATTGTCTGATTTGTTACATCAGAAATCTAAAACACAATATTCTAACAAAAACACTTCATCTTCAAAAGAGAGAATAGGTTGTGAGCCATCAAAATACTTCAATTCCAAAATACATGTATAACTTAATTCGTATAAAAAAATCAAATTTGGGCGAAAACACATGCACCAGCCCAAAACTGTCACCTGAGACAATTTTCAGTAGATTTGAGTGTTACTATATACTCTCCGACAGAAGAAACGTGAATACCATACATGTTGGTAAATATATGAAGAATTACTCATGTTCAATAGATATTAGATTGGTTCGATGCACAAATGAACATACTCAGCCTATCGTGCAGCATATCGTGATAAGAATAAAAATACTGTTGTAACACTTGACTGATTGTGCTTTGTCATTAATTGGTACACATTGGAAACATCTCTTCTCTCCGTCATATAGCTGGAATATTGCTACGTACATACTTCTCTATATGTTTCTATGGTTTGTTTCTTTTGTCGATGAGTATATAAGGGCTATCAAAATCTAAGCACACAAGAATGAAACAAATTACCTAGACTTGTGGCCAAACCTCTTTTATATGAGTGAGTGAGTGAGTGACTATGGTTGTTCTCAGTCCTCCATATTCCAGCAATATAACTGTGAAGGACACACAAACTGGGCTTCACACATTGTGCGTGGGGAATCAAACTCGGACCTTTGGTGTGATGAGACAGCAGTAACCACTAGGCTAGCCAACCCATGAAGATCCAGGTTAGAATAGGTCTCATCAACCCATGCTTGTCGTAAAAAGGCTACTAATGGGTGAGGTGAAATTGGGTTTTACGTCGCGTCCAAGATTATTGCACTTATATAGCGACGTGCATGCACGTGTATGTGTGTGTGTGGCTGCTTGTACTAGTCCGGACTGATGCCGATTTATAGTGCTAGCTCACTGAGATACCATGCCGCAGTTTAACATGAATACCCCACTCAGACACAGTATACTGACTCCGAGCCGACCAGTCCTTGTTTTAGCCCCTTAATGTCGAGCGCCAGACAGGGTAACAACAAGTACCATCTTTTAACGTCTTTTGGTATGACGCGGCCGGGGATCGAACCCCGGACCTTCCGCTCTCCGGGCGGACGCTCTACCACAAGACCACGGAGGCGGCCGCTACTAATGGGATCAGGTGGTCTGGCTCGCTGACGTGGTTGATGCATGTCATCGTAGTCCAGTTGCGTAGATCAATGAATATTTACAGACTGTCGTCATACAGCTGGAAAAACTAGGCTAGCCACTGTCCGGAGTTACATGTGACGTCACATACATATAATACAGTACCAGCCCTGTGAGGACAGTGTTGCATGGTGAGGATGTGGACATGATCAATTCATAAGAACACAGACCACAACAAAGTAACCAACTGTTCAATGGCTTGGGTTCGTCAAAGGTAGGGAGTGAGAG